GATGGTTGAATCTGATGTGCTAGCTGGAAAAGTATGAGAGCTGGCATAACTGTGCTCATTGTTGAATAAGCATTAGTGGAACAACTAACTCAAGTGGTGCAACAAACCCCTAATGAGTCTTGCTGTGGGCTGTACTATGCTGTGTGTAATGGGCTGTGGAACATCTTGCAAAAGCAAAATATAAGTACTGGATCTCATACTGGTGCACGGGTGAAATCTAATTTCTGAAAGTGGGTACAACCCTGATTGATTCCAAAATCATTTAATTTTTAAATTGCCTTTTGATTATTTAATTTTTTAAAGTTGTTCTACCAAAATGGCTGACATAGCTGAATAACCCTGATTGAGACTCTTCCTTGTCTGTCTTGTTTTGAAATTGGGTATAAGAAATGTAATGATCTGAGCTCAGGAATAAACAACCCAGTTTGGTTCTTTGTGAGTATTCTTGTTTGGCAATATCAGCCTATTGCAGTAAAATGGACATGTGTACAGTTGAATGGCCCAGAAAAGAATAAATAGGAAAAATAGATAGGAAGCTCCACTCATGAAAGTCAGCGCTGGGCTTCAGAGGAAAACATTGTAGAAGGGACCTGGCCAGCAGGGATCATAAAGATGCTCAAAAACCAGAGCAGATGGTGAACTACACACCTTCCCTGGCCCAATACTATTCATTTCATTTCATGAAAGTGCACTACACTGTATGGGTTCTTGACACAGCTGACAACAAAGCCAAGTGGTGGTGCTTAGATGTTCATTTATGGGCATCTGTTTACTCTGGAACAGTGCCACTTTATATATAATCTCTGAAACCGAATTGATTAGCTTTTGTTTGTATACAGAGTGGGAATACATGGTTATAAAGTATGTATGTATGTGTATGTTGTGGAATAAATGCATGGGTGCATACAGAGATATGTAACTAAAAAAAAGTTTGGCATTTTCTCAGGAAACATGATTTTTCTTCAAAATGAATTTCTAATATAAGATCCTGAGTAGTAAAACACATCATGATAATGATAAATGAACATTAAAGCTCTCTCCAGAAACCAGAGGTGTACAAAGAACTGCATGAAACTTCTAGCATACAGTATAGTATAATAAATGGTGTAAAAAAGTTTACTTTGATAGCTGAGCACTGTAAACTAGAATAGAACAGAACAGAATAGAATAGAATAGAGAGGAGGGTGGACTCAAGTATTAGATAGCATGGTTAGAAAAGGAAGCATTAATCATCAGAAAGAACAAAAGACAAGTCATTGCAATTATTTCAGAATAATTTTAAACTTGGATCTTAGTAAAATCATTCTGCAATCGCTTCAGTTATTTGCAAAAGGCAAATCATTACACACCTAATTATGTTTTTGAAAGGCTTAGGGAACAGATAACTGGCAGTTACAGGAACAGTTCTGTAGTTTGCCTTCCTTGAGGTTTTGTGTTCTAACATAAATTAAGCTAGATGGGTTTGATCATGTACACAGTAATGTATACAGAAGTTTGCCATAAACACAACAATCCTATTGCTGAAGTTGTGGGAGATCTGGAGGCATCAGAATGCCTACAATAAACCTATGTGATAATTTTGCCTCAATGCTGGTGTAATGCTGGGGAAATTGGAGAGGTATGGACTTGCAGACCCAAACCTTCCTCCACTCTGCATGACTATGGAACATGATTATGGAACACTCAACATGACTATGCAACACTCCTGCTTTGTCCCTACCAAAGCCAGAGCATCAAAAGCTATGGAAGCTTCCACCTTGACTGGGAGTGAAGTTTGAGGAAAGATCTCACCTCCAGAAGGTATACCTCTTTCTCCTCCCTTAAAGACATAGTGCTAAAATACTTTGTAAATTGTAGGATGTAGAAACACATCTGGAAGGACCCCAAGGGCCATCTGTTCCAACCTGCTGCATGTGCAGTAATCTACCACTACAGCATCCTTGAGAGTTCACCACCTAATCTTTGTTCACAGAGCTCCAATGAAGAAGAATCCATCATCTTCCCTAATAGTCTTTCCATGCTCGTATCCTCAGGAAGTTCTTTCTAATATTTAGTCAGAATATCCATTCTTAAAATATCGTTGATAAGCAAAAATGGCTGTATTCAGGTAAGCTTTTCATGTATAATCATGGGATGGCTTAGGTGTTGGTTATATAGGGTGGGCATCATGGTTTTAATGTCTGTAATTTTATATTGTTTTTAGATGATATTTTTAATTGCCTTATTGTAAAATATTTTTAAAATTTTTATTTGTGAGCTGCCTTGGGTCCCTTTCAGGAAGTAAGGTGGGATAGAAATCCAATCAATCAATCAATCAATCAATCAATCAAATAAATAAATAAATAAAATCCATTGGTTTGAATCCTATCCTCTGGAGCATCTGAAAACAATCTTGCTCCAACTTACATATGGCAGCCCTTCAGATATTTAAAGATATCACCTCTTAATCTTCTCTTTGATTCTCCAGGCTAGACTCCCACAACATTCTTGAGAAAAGGCTTTCCTTTTACCATCTTAATAACCTTCCTCTGGAGTGTCCTTCTTAAACTCTAGTGCCCAGAACTGTTCACAGTATTCCAGATGAGATCTGATCAAGACTCTATTATTTTCCTAGATATGAAAACTATAGTTTTGTTGATGATGCCTAGGAGTGCATTGCCCCCCCCCTTTTGTCACTGCTGTCAACTGTTGACTAATGTCAAGGTTGTTGTCTATCAAGACAACATGTACATATAAAAAGATGGGTGCTGCCCAACTTGCATTTGTGCATCTGTTTTCCCAGACCAAATACAGTGTGTGTGCTTTCAAGTCACCTGCTGACTTAAGGTGACTCCATTAATTTCATAGGGTTTTATTACATTTACCCCTGATGAAATTTATATTATTTGTTTTGGCCTACTTATCCACTCGGTTAAGTCTAAGTCTAAGTTAGAATGTAGAAAACAATAACACAACGGGTAATAACCAACTATTTATTTGTGTTCCACTGTCACTGGCTGCTGTAACTAATGACTTGTGTTAATGAAGAACAGGTTAATTAAATTTGCAGATGGTACTAAATCAGTGTGAACATAAGGAATTCAAAAAGCATCTCCCTCAAATGTATTCAGGTCAACAGAAGAAGGTGAAGCATGTAAATAAATAACTTTATTTATAACTGTACAGCCTGTTCCACCATGTTGAGAAAAACTGAAGTACAGTGTAGGTGTTATCGCTGCAAGTGCTTTTCAGTGCAAAACAAAGACAGACAAGTTAAATGTATTGAAATCCAATGAAAGGGAAGCAATGCTTTAATAAATTGTGATTTCTCAGAGCTTTATTTCATTTCATTTCTTTCCAAAGTTGAATGAGTTTTCTGTTTAACTAAATCTGCACCCATTCTATCTCATTATTCCCACCCATTTTCCAAACTAGCTACCCAATTACAATGAATACATCACCAGTTTTGTGCACACAGACTTAATACGTAAAATGAAGAAAGGGAAATGTGTGTATGACAGAGAGAGATAGAAATAGAGAGAGAAAATGTGATAATCACTTCTGAGTGCAAGAATAACGTGCATCATTTATGACAGTGTATCATTATGACTCATACAGCTCAAGAAAGAAAGTTCAAATATATCCCGGAGTATTGTCTTCTGCTGAATGCAATATTCTTCTTTACTTTTAGGATCTCAGTTTAAGTCATTTTATTGCATACAGGTACTCTACTTATATGTTCATTTAGTTCAAATAATCCCCCCTCTTATTTTAAGTGCCTTGGGGGATCCCAATGGTTAAAATATATTATAATTTATGCAGGCAAAGATATAAAGCCATAGAAAGATCCACTCTCAACCAGCTCAGCCACAGCCCCTGAGATCCAAATCAAATTTTAGAAAAGAAATCTTACAGCACTTCTGAAAGATTATCAGAAATTCTCTCTTGAGCAGAAACAGCTGCCTCACTGATGTGGGATGAATTTCTGTTCCTCTCTTAAACTTTTCTATCCTTTCTCCATTCTCTGTGCCCCATTAATCATAGTGGATCCACATGAAGGCAACAGGCATCACAAGGATTCATTTGAAAATGAAACTTTCTGATCTATACTCTGTTCTAGGGCTACCTTATCATAACGTCTCTGTGCTAGAAGAAATTAACATATATTAACCTATCTAGCCTTCTATATAAGGTCATTTGCATGCCTGGAAAATAGTAACAGCACACTTTACAAAACTGATTTTTTTCTTTTTATTTTCTGCTATATTTTGTGAACTGCTCATATATGCCTTGCAAACAGCTTTGAACAGGCAATGATTTATCCTTGTTCTACCATTTCTTAAAAGAAAATGTTCGGTTCAGCACTTGTTTGATAGAATTCAGTTGGCCCTTGCAACAGTTGATTAATTTATTACATTTATATCTTGCTTTTTTTCTTTATTATTTTTTCTTTTGGCAAAATCAGCATAAGACGCCGTGTGGTTATTCTACTTCCCAGCCCTGTGAAGGCAATCATATTGAGATAGAATGATTGGCCCAAAATCACCCATTCAGTTGATCTTAGTTCAGTGAGAGCTTGAACATGGATCTTTTGAATCCCATTGCAGTGCTCTAACCATTGTACCTCAAGGGCTGTCTAGTGTGTATTCTTTCTAAGCCATATGCATTTCCCTCAGCCATGTACAGTGACTCACAGTAACTACCTTGTTGTTACCTAGAAACATGAATGTCCAGGGGGAAAAAAGAGACATAAAATACTGAAATGTTTTTATTCAAGTCTATGACTCAGGAAATCATCTTCCCCCTGAAGTGTTTTTATTTCCTGGAAAAATTAAGAAATATTTTCTTGTAGAATGATAATTGCCATATTTGTCATTGTTGTGTGCCTCCAAGTTGTTTCTGGCTTGTGATGACCCTAAGGTGAATCTACCATGGGGTTTTCTTGGCAAAATTTGTTCAGAGGAGGTTTGCCATTGAGGCTGAGAGAGTGTGACTTGCCCAAGGTCACCCAGTGGGTTTTATGACTGATCTGGGAATTGAATCCTGGTCTCCAGAGTTGTAGTGCAGCACCCAAACCACTATGCCATTCTGTCTCTCATGTTTACTATATTTACAAGATATCATTTGTTGTTGTTGTTAACTGCCCTCGAGTTGATCTTGACTCATCATGGCCCTATGGATGAGACATCTCTAAGCCCCTATGTCCTCCACTGCTCTGCTTAAATTCTGCAACCCCTTAATTCCCGTGACCTCCCTAATAGACTCCTTCGATCTAGCATGTGGCCTTCCTCTCTTCCTTCTTCCCTCCACCTTTCCCAGCATTATTGTTTTTTCCAAAGAGTCCCCTCTTCTCATTATATGTCCAAATCAGTTTGGTCATCTTGGCTTCCAGGGAGGTTTCCGGCTTGATCTGCTCTAGGACCCACTTGTTTGTCCTTTTGGCTGTCAATGGGATCCACAGCATTCTTCTCCAGCACCACATCATCACAAATGCATTGATTTTCTTCCTATCATCTTTCTTGACTGTCCAGCTCTCACATCCATTCATGGTAATACAGTGGTGTGATGTCCAGCCTGGACTGTTTAAATTCTCTCCTGCATTTTCTCTCATTTAAGTTAGTCCTTAGTATGTTTGAGCATAGGAATGTTCCACTGTATTAGTTTGTGGGAGGAGCTGTAGGAATCCCCTGCATTTTTCTAGTTTTTGGTTCGCCCCTTCCCAGCAAGCTCTGCTTCAGCTTGGGATTTTTAGGTTTTTCTTAGGCAGGCTTGGCTTTATCTGTTTGGTGGCAAACAGGCTCAGACAGAGGCAAAGGACATTTCTTACACCATTTAGCAATTTATTTACCATTTAGTCAATGTATTTACCATTTAGACAATTTAGTTACCATTAGCCAATTTAATTACCGTTTAGCCAGATTAGTTACCAAAAGCAGTTTATTATAATAAATATCAACAACAAAGAAGTCAAGAGCACCAGAAGCTGAAAGACCCTGCACCAGCTTCATTGAGAAGGAGATCAAACCAAGATCAAACCTAGAGAGATGACAACACTGAAGATTGCTGAAACCTAAATTGTAAAGTATCTTTTATTTTAAGCCTATTAGAGCTGGGGAGGAGAAACCCTTTTTCTTTTGTTCTTCAAAATAAATTTCCCCCTTTTGGACTTTACATTCAGCTTTGGAGCTTTTTTGGATATAAGAGTTTGATCTCACCAGGGTACTGGTGTGGAACACCCATATTTGCCACCACCTTTAGTTGGGTGTTTCTTCACAAATGGCTTGTAAAATTCTAAATTTGTTTGGAGTTGTATATCTTTGCATTCTTTTCTAGTTTTTTCATAGTCACCCTCCCCATTCTTAGTCTTCTTCTGATTTCCTGACTGCATTTCTATCAATGTTTGATCCCAGCTATGGGAATTCTTTCACTATTTCTATTTCTTCATTGTCTAGGTTGAACTTGTGAAAGTCCTCAGTGGTCATTATTTTTGTTTTCTTTACGTTCAGCATTAAGCCTGCCTTTGGACTTTCTTCTTTGATCTTCCTTAGTAGGTGTTCTGGGTCTGTGAGGTTTTCTGCTATTATTATGGTGTCATCTGCATACCTTAGATTGTTAATATTCCTTCCTCCTATTTTCACACCTTCTTCTTTGTCCAAGCCTGTTTTCTTATAATATGTTCTTCGTTCAAGTTGAACAGATAAGGTGAAAGGATACAGCCTTGTCTGACTCCTTTGCCAGTTGGGAACCATTCTGTTTCTCTGTTTTCTGTTCTGACAGTAGCCTCTTGTCCTGAGTACAGATTCCTCATAAGGACTATCAGATTTGCTGGCACTCCCATGTCTTTAAGGGCATTCCATAGCCTTTCATGGTCTATGCAGTCAAAGGCTTTGCTATAGTCTATAAAGCACATGCTGATTTTCTTTTGGAATTCCTTGGTGCACTCTATTAGCCATTGTATGTTTGCAATGTGATCCCTTGTGCCTCTTCCTTTCCCGAACCCCACTTGGACCTCTTACTAATTTTACTTACTAGTTTTACATTGGTATGCAGGCCCATTCAGTCTAGTTTACCTCAGGGGCAGGACACTGAGAGTAGCAACTTTGATGCTCCCATTGCTCTAGTAGAATTCATGTTTCTCACTTTCCCCCCAGAAAGCTTCCTTTCATGTGCATGCACCCCATTGCCCCAGAAAGATGTGTTGGTGGCAGCACAATGACTCTCACAACTAATAAAGAAAACAGCAGCAATGGTGTCCTGAGAAGGAGGAAGACATGACTGTTGTGCCTACCCCTGTCTTGTGAGAGGGTGTTGCTATATCAAGATGTCTGTCTCCTGAAATAGCCAACCCAGTAGCAGAACCAATCTCTGGCAGGATGGGGTTCAACAGTCATGTCTTTCTTCATCTCATAGAGAGGTGTATGAACAATGCCACTGTGTCCCTTTCCTCTTTCTGCACCATGGCAAGGATGCAACTATATGCACTGCAGAAATAATCCAATTTGAGATCGCTTTCACTGCCTGGCTCAATGCTAGGGAATTCTGAGAACTGTAGTTTTGTGAGATATTTAGCCTTCTCTGTCAGAAAGCTCTGGTGCCACAATAAACTACAATTCCCATTATTCTCTAGCACTGAGCCAGGGCAGTGGAAGCAGTCTCAAACTGGATTATTTCCACAGTGTGTTTCCATGGCTTGCAGTGTCTTTCCATGGCTTGCTTACTTTCCAGTTGTCCCAGATGGGCAGGGATGGCCCTGACTAATCCTCTGCCAGCACACCTTACCACTGTTTCTATAATATCCTATTTTTTCTCTCCACCTCCCTTGTTTCCTCTTTGTCCTTGTCTTTTGTCAGTTGCTGCAAACGGAGTTCAAAATACAAAAGTAGTTTTTACCCAAGTAACCCACCAGTTGTCCTTCCCAGTACAATCAGGCAAAAGCAAACTGCAGCCTCTCCTTGTTCTGGAATAGAAATTCTATACTGTGTTAATCCAAACTGGTTTTTGAAGCAAGCATAGAGAGTAAACAGCCTTTGTTAAAAAACAAAACAAAACTAAAGCAAGGGAAGGGGAGAAGCCTGCCAGTTTAGAGGGGATTCCCCTAAGACCCCTTTGAATTACCTCTGAAAGTGAATCTATATGTGATTAAGGACAGGAATGCTACAATGAAATTTTGATACATGCTACAAAATAAAGGCTGAGAGAGCATTCTGAACATCTAAGTGAAATATACTCCCACAAGGTAATGTTTCCAAGGTCTGGGGAAAACAGATTTCTCAGTTGTTGGCTTACTGTGGAGAAATCTCTCATTCATGAAGGGAGTGGCACAGACCTGTTGTATCATAATGATTATTCTGCACGGAAATATCTAACTGTTTGGGACACATTAACATAAGTAGTAGAGAGCCAGTGTGGTGTAGTGAGTGTCTGGAGACCAGGGTTTGATTCCCAGCTCAGCTATAAAAAATACTGGGTGACCTTGGGCAAGTCACATGCTCTCAGCCTCAGGGAAAGGCAATGACAAACCTCCTCTGAACCAACCTTGCCAAGAAAACCCCATGATAGGTACACCTTAAGGTTGCCATAAATCGCAAATTACTTGAAGGCACACAAAAACACCAACAAAAAAGTAGTAATGCACAGAGCTGAAACAAGATTTTTCCCATAGTGACAGAGGAGGGAGACACTCAAGAGCTGAAAAGCTCAGCTGCAGAAAGTCTGTGTAATTGCTACTCTCTTGAGGCAGCATTTCCAAGTGAACTAAAATGCTCCCACTGCAACCAGACCACAGAACAAAACACTTGATTTGCCACCACTGCAAACTCTTGCTTTAAAAAGCTGCTATAGTTAAATAATGGCTTGTTTTCACTGCTTCGCATATTCACTTGCTTGGATTTTTCACCTAATTGTAGGGATCTGTGCTTGAGAACACTGCATACTAAAACTGTAGTTATATTTTAATTTTTGATGATCAGAACTCCTTCATTGCCTCCTGAGGTAGGTGGATGTGATGCTTAATTAGCATGGAGATATGGTTGGGGTTACTAGGACATCCATGCACACCATCTCCATGTTATTAATTAAATGAGGCCAGAGGAATTGGTAGCACTAGCAGGAGGCAATGCTAGTACCTTCCTTTCGTTTATTTATTTTTAATTGGTAGGAAAAGAAAGTAGTCATTGTCAAAGTTCAGGTGTTTGAGTTTCCATTGCTACACAATAACACCACTCATGGGTTTTAAGTATGGTACAGGTTTGCTGTGTTTTAAGATAATAGACTCATTCAAACTTTCCAGCCATGAAGTATTTTCGATTGTGGGAAGTGGGGAAAGGGCAAAGATTTGCTAATTCAATCAGCCTGTTTTTTAAAGTCTTTTTTTAAATCATAGAATGCTCATCATATCGTATGTCACTCATAGAAGCTGTCATATTGATTAATTTAGCCACATTCTCATGGAGTGTGGCCGTGGCGATGAGGGATGTGTAATCCCTTCTGCACTTGGTTTAATTGCAGGTGTTTCACTGAAAGAAGACTATACATTGAAGTGAAAGAACCTGAATTAATCTTTTCTTTTTCTTTTCTTTTTTGAATGGCTTTATCACCTGAAATACAGCAAGTTACAAAGGGTGCAAAATGAAGCCACTGGATGAAATTGTCCATCACCCTCAAATTTCTAGCATTGAGGAAAGTGAGACACTGAAAATTGTTCACACCTAGAACTGTCAGGTTTGCTGTTTTCTCATTCCCTTGGGAACTTTGGCTTCCCCTTTGCTTTGAATGCATAAACTGTATTCTCAATGTTGAACTGAAATTTAATTTACTGCAGTGCTATAAATTTGGGTCTGAAGGAACATGGGGGACAGAATTCTGTTTTGAGGGCAATGCCCTTGTTTTGCCCCACTCCTGTTGTTACACCCTGGAATCCAGGAAATCAACAGCAAAGAACATTGTCAGGGTGTACCATACAGGGCTCAGCAGGTAATTCAGACCACTTTCCCTTAAAATGGGATTACAATCATGAGATCCACAGATCCCATGTGTTCCCCAAGGCCATATTTGCAAAATGTAGAAAATCACATCTCCAGAAATCTCCAGGATG